GGGTGGGGGGGAAAGCTCAGCAAAATGCACCCATAATGAAAGAAGGGACCAATTAGGGTTGGATTAACATTCATGGTTATTTACAGTTGTTTTTGTACTTGTTCTTGTGCTCTGACTTCCTAAAATTTCACAACCCAAAGATTTAGAAAAATGGGGTTGTTTAGACGCGAGGTGCAATGAAGTGGCTGCAGCCATTGTGCAGACACCACCTCTCTCATTATACCCTCTCAATCAACACTCGGCACACAGGAAACCGCAATAAAGCCCATCTGCCACGGTTAATCTGCAGGCAAACCCACACCCATGTCTGTGCCCGTTACTCTCCAGCCTTATTATTCTCAGATCCAAAGCTTCATAAGGGATCAGCCAAAGTCCATTAAAGTAAATAATAGCTAGAAATGACAGGCTTAGCAAGGATTGGGAGGAAGTTGAAGACCAATCTGAGCTGTGAGCTCTGATTAATAGAGAAAAGCATTAGGAGAAAAGGGGAGAAAAATGACCTCAGCCTGCTCCAAAGAATTCCTGAACCTTGGTTGTTAGGGCAAGTGCTACCATCTGAGACGTTAGTGATCCTTGAATTTCCTTCACTTTGATGCAGCTCAAATGGGAAAATTTTGAAGGTTCAGCAAGGCCCCAGACCTCAGCTGGAAAGCCGTCTGGAGTCAACCCTGTCAAAATTCTCTTGTGGAAAAGAAAGCCTTTATTAGCTAGATTGCAACAAAAAACCCACAGCCTCTAATAAGAAGAGAATGCATGCTATAGATTGCATATACATTAATTATTAGAGGGCATTTAATTGTTCTCATCTGTATACAGATCTGTGCAAAAGTTCTTTTAAAATACCAGTCAGAGTGTGTTTAAAAAAACAAAAAAGCACAAAACTAAGAAACAAAACCAAACACCTTCTCAGACTGTTTTTCTTCATTCAACTTAATTTTTAATAGAAGATTCAATTCATTGCCAAGTGAGGAGATACCCTGCTTGGGAGGACTGGTACATAAAGTTGATGCTTGTGAGGATGTTGCATATTATGTTTGCTTTCCATTGTCTCAGCTGTGTGTTGTACATGAACAGAATATACAGAAACCAGCAGCAAGTCAACCCTACACAAGGATTTATTTTTCTAATGCTAAAGAAAATCACTGCTCTAAAAACAGAAACTTGAGCAGTTATAAAAACTATTTTCTCCTATTTCTTTGCATATATTATCTACCTCTTTTCCAGCTATATCCTTGGAATATGTTTTATTTTGATTACGGGAAAGAATGGACAGATGTTTACTATTCATCAGAATGTTTGTTTTTACTGCTATTTAAAAATCCATCATGCAGCTGAGAAAGTGCATGTGCCACTGCACCTTTGCAACTTTTGCTGAGCAAAGTGCTGACCACGAGGAGTTTGTAAGTGATTTTAGATCCAGCTAAGGAATAGTGTTTAATTGATCAATCTTAGACAGCAACCCAAGCATAACTATTCAGAAACATCTGGTACAGCTGTACAGGTGTTTCACTATCCCTGATGATTTTTTTTTTTTTGTAGATATTAATGATCTGAATGAGGGCTTCTTGTCAGGGCAGCTCTTATGATGATACATTCCTTCTAAAAGTTTATGTTACAGTATGTGGTTTTCATAAACAAGATGAAGAGGATGCTGCTTAAAATGATGATGCTGCCATGAAATTGCTGATAACTTGGCTAAAGCCCTGCTCATGTGCACGTGATGCAATTTTCATATTTTAATCCTAAGTAGAACCAAAAATGACAATTATGAAAAGACAAAATAGATACCACCAACAGCTGTAATTGCTATCTACACTGCTCAAGGATGGGCAAAAGACACAGTAAATCAATATTAAGATCTCTACATATGCAGGTATCACAAGGACATCATATAACATCATTATAAGAAAATCCTAATAAAATTTGGACAGTTATTCCAAAGAATACAGGATGAGCATGGAGTGTGTGTTTGCAGCTAACTAGTTCTCTGCAGTTTCAGCTGATGTCTTAATAGAAATATCTGCCTTTATAAAAGCATAAGTGTCTTTCTATAGGAAAAAAACCAAACTTATTACATATTTTAGGATAAAACCTTATTTTTTAGATTGATGGATACTAGCGACAGTTTTAACATTTTTCTGTTGGTCATGCAGGAACTATAAGATTGTGAAGGATGAAGTGGCACTGGCATTCTTCTCAAGTACATAAGATACAATGCCTTTTTTTTGTCCTGAAACATAGGTGATGTATTTCATTTGGAACACTAGACCTCAATGCTGAGACTGTGTCTTCTCAGACAATTTCATATTAAAAATTAAAAATAGTTCCATGATCAAGAAACTGAACATGACTTTCAGTGGAGAGGAAGCAAATAATATGATGCAGCTTATGCATAAGGTTTTGTTGTAATTAAAATACAAAGAAATATGAAAATGTTGAATGTGAGCAAGATCTGTACACCACTAAATATTCAAGACACTAAGATAAAAAAAAGCAGTAAACAAAATGTGTATGAACAGAAAAAGCAAGCTAAATGCTCTGTGCAGTGGCTTCCTATTAAAAGGAACAAATAACCTACTTTGCTTTCTTGATTTATTCTAAAACCAGCACTATGATATTGCATAGAAAGCCTGCATGTAAAGCCTGACTTTAACTACAAACTTAGTGTTTTTATACCACTGTCAACTTTTCTGCTTAATGTAAAACAGAGTTAGCCTCTCATCTATCTCTTGTCATCCATGTGATGTTGTCCAAGATGAGTTTCCTCCTGACCATACTCAGAGCTATCAAACAACATTTTCTGTACCCATCTTCCCACATCACTGAAAGCAGGAATCATGTAGCACATCATGGTGCCTTGGTGAGTTTTCTGTTCTTTGCTTCACTGAAACAAATGCATTTTCACATCTATTTTTTTTCTTGTTTCCAAGGACAAGGCTGGCTAATAGTAGTGATATGTACAGTAACTTCCTCTCAGAGCTCAGCCTCACACTGGAGATACATTTGGTTTTGGGTATTGTCCTCATCCAATGGATCAGGATGAGCTGAACAGTTTAGCAATGATGTTTGCTGCTTGTTTAATGAAGGTACTAAAATCCTGAGCAGGGTTTGGAATTAATTAGTTTACACAGGAATAGAAATAATTATCTCTCAGCAACATTTTATCAAATAATCTATCAATCAAAGGAGTCCATAGCTGTAGCCAAACACCTTTCTGTCTTTGAGGATTAAAAAAACACAGAAAACACAGGAAAACAGACTGTGGCATTGAATCCATATTGCTCCATATTGTTTATTATACAGGAACTCCAGTTTGCAGTTTCCTCATATGTTATTGGTTAGTCTCCCTTGGATATTTTCTGGCTGGCTATACTCCTAAATCTATCTGCAGCTCACAGATATTCCTATAAATTTTGTTTATTTTACTCTAAACTCCTTATTCTTTACTAGAAAGAACATTTTTAATGACAGATTTAGTGTAGGCTTGTTGCTTATAAACATGAATTTGTGAATGCAGAGACAAATTTGCCCAATTTCAAAATATAAAGACAACAACTTGTACTCTTCTGTCGTTTTCTATTAAGTTCACCAAAAAGCAGTGAGTTTTTCCCTGTAGATCACCAGGAGATTGTATTTTCTATAGCCCAGTCTGCAGAATGATGTCACCTCGTGTTTTGTTTAACACCTGGCATATTGCACAGTCCCATATATGTTACACATAACTGGACAGCTTTAATGAGCGATTGCCTGGGTGTGTTTCAGTGTGGTACAAATGCACAAACTGTAATTCTGCTTAAAGTCTACTTCTTTAGTGAATTTCTGCAGGGAAAAAAATCCAGCCTATGCTGTTAAGATGACAAGGTATTTTTAAGACAAACTGCAGTGAATAGAAATGGAAATCTATCCATTCTGATCAAAAGCTAATGACTGTAAAATATTCTGGTCAACCTTTGGCATAATTTGGGGAAGTTAGGGCCAATTCATTTGCCATGAGGCATCTCTGGCCTTTAGGTCTACTAGCATTTTTGACACCCATCACCTCAGGGAGCCAGTTCTCACTTTGCCCTATTTACTGGCTGCAAAAGCCCCATTTCTCATTCTGTTTTACTGCAAGGGGTAAACACAAAGCCCTCCTCTTCCTCTTTTGCTCCCATTCATCCTTACACCCAACAGCAGACACTTGTACAGGGCACTACTGCTAGAACCATCAGGAACTTCTGCATCTGCTGCCTTCCTGAAATAGAATGAAAATATAAATATTTGGCCCCAAGATAATTTATTTATATGGGAACAGAAATTCATTTCAGAGAATCCATGTCAAGGACTCCCATGAGTCTTTTAGACACCCCAGGATTCCCTCCAAGAGAGCAGGGACTTCATTCCTACTGTAAACATGCTTGCAGTTCACCACAAACATGTCAATAATGGTAACAAATGGCCCCACTATGTGTCGTACATCGAGAGCCAGGGGAAGCGTGTGCAAAAAGCTATTTTTAGAGATGAGGCAGGAGGACTTATTTTATTATATGAGTAACACAAAGATTAGAACAACTGATTTTTTTTTAAATTGTACCCAGTTCAGGGGGTGATGTATCAGAAATTTTTGGGAGTAAAGGGGGAGAAAAAGGAGCAACGAAGTGCTGTTTATCCTGCCATTATCTTACCAGTCTGTGTGTCTTTGGACAGCAATCACGGGACCCAGATGCTAAGGGTAAGTGATATTTTCCCACAAGCAGTTTCTGGCTCGTTGGCAGCTTTTGTAGGCAGTTGTGTTGGCAGCCTTGGAGCAGCCTCTGGCTCTGTTTTGTGGCTTTGCTCTTGATGGGCTGCCTGGGCTGCCCTGTGCTGCTGGATGCCATTTCCCCCTGTCAGCCCATGGGCTTTCGGAAGCTTTCACTGTGCAAATCCCCTGTGAAATAGATAAATGGGCTCTTCTAGGGCAGAGAGGGAATCTGTTTCCTGGCTGTTGTAGACATTAGGTGAATTACTGCTTCAGGTACTTGGGGAAACTTTGGCCATTTTGCAATTTTTGGCTTCCCTAAGCTGGAATATTCATCACAAAGGCAGAACCAGGTACAGCCCCAGGTGTTAGTCTCAGTTCTCTCCCTCAACCCTGCTTTTTTTTTTATTTTTTTAACTCTCTTTTATCTCTGCTGCTCAATCTGTGGTTTTTGTAAACTCTTTAATTGTACTCTCTTTATATTATTAACAACATATATTTAACAACATATGTTAACGACACCACACCATCAGAAAGTAAACACAGTATCTCAAATATAACAATAAGATTAAAAATGAGTTCTGTACTTCATGCAGAAATGGCACATTTTTTTGTCCCAGTTTACCTGTAATTCAATCATGCTTTAAAATATAAAGAAGGTATGTAAAATAGTTTTAAGTAATTCTGAGTATTCTGTATTGAACATGTGAATACAAGTGTCTTAAAATCTTTTCAAACATTATTTCTTCTATTAGATACATATGTTACTATGCAGACAATATAAAATATTTCTTTTACAAGTGTATTATTGAACAAAATTAGAAGAATTATATTTATAAAAGATACTCATAAGTAAGACTCTTGGGCTTTTTATTAAATCAACTAATAATATTATACATTTTTTGCATTGTTTCCCTTTTTTGCTTTGCTGATTTGAAAAAAAAAAAGACATTTCTTGAGTGATGATTAACTTCTCCTTTGTGGATTTCTAACTTCCAGTTTATTAATTCTAGATTGTTTGTTATAATTAGTAAATTGCATATTTATGAATTATTATAATAAAAATGCAGAAAATTCAATTGCATTCTACTGCAGCTTCACCTGCAAAAGCAGATCTGTAGAGGGGATTTTTCCTCCTGGGTGCTTCAATGTACTTTCTAGTGTGTTAGTTTCCAAAAAGCTGTCAGATCACTTGTTAGATTTGACTGGAATTGTGTATCATTTTGATATCACTTCTGTTCATAGAATTTCCTGGAAATTCATATACCGAAAATGTTTATTAATTGGCATTTCATATGCCGTTTGTTTGGATTTTTAAATAGTCATAATGAACTCAGTGGAAATAAGAAAACAAAAACCTTCTCAACCAATTTGTGTGAGCTCTTTTACACTTTGATGTCACCAAATCTGTGTAATTCTATCTCTGTCAGGAAATTACCACATGCCAGAGATTCCTCAATGAAATGCTGACTGTCCATATTCCTAAAAATGTATGAATCTTAGAATTAATTTTTATTAGGCTGACATCAAAGACCACTGTGGATATCTTGGCCATTGTGAATTGATTGGTAATAATTTTATCCAATACTAGTTCTGTGAGAATGGAAAGGAAAAATTGCTCTTCTTGCAAAGGGGTGGTATTGGGTTAAATTTGCAATTTTTTTTCTCTGTCTTAATTAAAATGCAAGTAAAGGATATTCTAAATCTAGGCATATTTACAATAAGTTTTTCCTCCAATCCATTTTTATCAATTTTCTTTCAGGACACTGTGGCTTGTGACAAAATATCTTTGTGATGACCACTCCTCACTGGGTTCCTGCTGCTTGAAGATTAGTGCCTGTTACCTAGACTTTGCAGAACTGGACTTGTAGACTGTAAGCTATTTGTCCCATAGTTTTTAAGAGTTATGTAATGCTGTGAGACTAGTGGAAATTGCCATTTAAAATGTTTCCATCTTTTCTACGTAGGTGAGTTTATACTCCACAGAACCAAACCAAACCAAGAAACAAAGAAACTACAAACAAAAAACAAACAAACAAAACCCTCAAAGCAAACAAATAAACAAAACCCACTAAAAGCAAGAAAGTCTAATGTTAGCCCTGCGCTGTGGGCACAGTTGTTGGACATACCCCTGAACTATTTCTGGAACGCCACTTTCCAAACTGAATCCCCCTTTTTTAAGGAAATACCTGAAGGATACCATTAGTGTTTCACATTGTCCGTCCACATGGCCGCTGGCTGCTGCGCTTCCCTCACTAACCTGATGTAATTAAAGGGGATTGTTCATTTTCCTCCCTGCAGCGCTGCGGTCCCGAGGCGCTTCCCCGGAGGAGCGCAGGGCTCGGGGCGGGA